TGATATTACACAATACAAGGGACCCCAAACAATCGCCAAGCATAAATAAAAGAGAATAGAAACTTGGGCATGTTCACATAGGGGAGAAAGACTAGAGGAAAAATAATAAAGGCAATATTCAAGAGATATGTTAAAGGACACTCAGCACTTCATACATGGAAACACAAGGGGAATTTAAACATCCGTAGTTCCCCAGATATGAAACACAAGACTAAGAATAATGATGTTGGTAATGACAATGTCTGATGAATAATATAATGAGAGTACAGTCAGTGCGATGGCGGTTTCCTCTTGTACTTAATTGACATCTTTTTTTTACACTTCAATGCACGCCGTGGTGCCGTTTTTTTGTGTTTTCTTTTTTTCTTTACGCGCGTTTATTTTTCCTTCAGCAGCAGTGGACTTGCTGGGAGCGGGCCTCGGGCCGGCCTTCATTGGAAGCTAAGTGCCGGTCGGAAGACCTCTGCCGGCCGAATTCAGCCCGCGGGCAGAGGTTTGGGGACCCCTGCTTTAGATCCACTATATAAGCTACGCTTTAGAGTAACGATACTGACCCGGGGCTTAAAATCGTGATGGCCACTTATCTAAAATTGCATCTGAAATTATAGGAAACACTTTTCCTTTCTCCACAAATGTTTAAAAAGCTCGCGACAGAGGAAAGCAATAGTATACGTGAGCCTCCTAGCTCCAAATCTAATGCTGAGATAGTTGCACTTTTGAATCATAACGATCGGTAGTTGCGTCTGCTTTGTACTATGCACCAAGATGGCGGCGCGCACTACAATATCAGGAACAGAGTACTGACACTCTAAGCGTAGCTCATTTAGTGGTTCTACCTAGCTCGGAGCCGAAGCTGGAGTTGCTGCGTTGGAAGCAGACGGAATTCGGAAGATGTCGTGGCTGCAGCCTGGCTTCAGTCGCGGCGTTCGCGTGCGCGTCTACATTCGGTGACGGTAGCAAGGAGACGAGGGCGTAGCGAAATCAGGTGTCTACTCAGGTTCTTTCACCGTGCGTTTGAATGGGCGTAACTTGAACAAAAAGAGTTCGAGATAAGGGCTTAACGCAGATGGCTGATTTTCTCCAGCGCCTAATACTTTTGCGATCCTTAAACGAAAAAAAACACGTCTTTTCGGCTATCTGAGGGCCGGGTTTTTCCCATGAAAAATGGGGCTAAAGTATCAAACTGCCACATTACTTTTATAAAGAATGTGGCTTGCATTTTTTTTTTTTTTATGAATTAAGCGGAACTTTGCCTATGCCAGCAAAAACAGAGGTAAAAGATGAAAGGAAAGCGTGCGGGGACGCCAGAACGTTAAGCTCTTACTGGAGTGATTAGTGGAAAGCTAGTTTCTCCTGTCTCAACTGCACTCGTCAAACGCGTTCTAACGCAAGTGCTAAACTTCTAACGCCGTCGTTTCGCATTCTAGAGCGTTCGACGAGTGCAGCGGAGAAAAAGGCAGCTAGCTTTGCCTCTACCCACTAATCATTGCAGTCTGAGCTCGACGTTCTGGAGTCTCCGTGCGCTCTCTTTCCGCCTCTCCCTCAATGTCTGTCCAGATTTCTTCGGCTGAGTAAAAACTCTACGAAGGACTCCACTCGCCAAACACGACGTCCCGCTTATTGGATACCACTAACAACATAAGTCCTTTTACCTCCAAACGCCATCGCTATGCGGAGCATAGGTTTGTCTGCTCCTTGCACAATGGTTGCGATGATGTCAGAACGCCCAGCTCTTATTGGCTGATTGAAGAAACAAAAGAAAACAGTCGGTAGACCTCAATACATTTAGCATTAGGGTATACCCACTATTCTTCCAATCGAAGTCAATTAAAACTCAGCGTCGTTTTGACGTCACCACAACCCCTGCGCAAGAAGCAGACGACTCGCTCTTCGCACAGTGGATCCATGCAGCGCCGCCTATCGTCACCGTCTGCGCGTCTTGCAGCGTCTCACAATGAGCGTGACCTCAGCACGTGGTGACGCCATGACGGACGCGTCTGCCACTTTTTGCGGATACACTTGTTCAGATGCAGCGTTGTTGACGCTTGGGGCGCGTTGGGGATTCGCTAGACAATGACGTGATGTGCAGTCCTTGTTTTCGGGGTGTGTGGCAAGTTTCGAGCCTCTCTGTCATGGAGGTAGGAAAGCTTCTGGATGCGATATGACGTCACCGGAGGTGAAGCCAGAAGTGTGGAGGGACACGTCCCCAACGATTACTTAAACCACAGCTGTTCTGTTCACCCTCGGGCGCCCGGACAACCGAATGTGACCAAAACTGCTGCGGTTTTGGTCATGCAGTCTGGTGGTTTTTTGCGCAACACAAGGGACAATCACAAGCGAGTAGACACGGACAAGCGCTTTGGGAACGTGCCTCGCCACACTTGTGGCTTCACCTCTGGTGATGTCATGTCACCTCCTGAGGCTTTCCTATCTCCGTGATCTCATTAGTGTCGCTCCGCGTACGTTCAGAGCATTGGCCGACAAGAACGTTGAAGACTAGTTACGGAGCAAAAAGCACGAAGGAAATGAGCCACGCCATGCGTGTGTTAAAGAGACCGCAAAAGGCTTTTTTCAACTTCTTCCATCCTTAGCTTTCCTTTTTCAGCTAGAAGCGAAACAAAACATCCGATGGTCGTGACGTAGTATTTCACCACGTGCGATGACGCCAAGCTTCTAAACTTTTTTTCTTCTTTTTATGTAGAATATAGAATTTGTTTTTCGCGTGTGATCATATTAAGTGACGCCACGACACTCAGCGGTCACGAACGCGAATCGAAATGTTCGTCGACAGATTGAATGTTGACGAGCGCATACGTCCCAGGGTTAATCATGTCGATTAACGCCTGATAAGCGGGTTTCACATGCAGCGATTTCGGCCCTAAAGCGGCGCGATTTCTGCCGTCGCGGCGGCGCTCTGGCCAGCCGCAGCAGCTGAGCGGCACGGTTCTACCAGGTTGGACATTTTTCGCCGCGGCAGAGCGGCAGCTTCCGCGCTGGCCACTTACAGCGAGGCGGGAGGTCACGTGACAGGAAGAGAAACATTGCAGGAAAGCTGGCGCACAGGACGGCGGCGTTTTCACGTTCTTGAAGCAGACGACAAGCAGAGAAAGTACGCAAGCGACTGGTTTACGGTTTCTTTTTTCCGGCGGGTGGAGTTTCTTTGCTTCAGTGGTCACGTCGAAACTGTTCAGCAGAATGAAATCCGCGGCTCTTTTTTACTTTACTTGCTTGAGTACCAACTGTAGGGAGCGCAAGAGACGCTAATTGAAAGCGGCTTGTGCGAGCGCTAGTGAGAAAAACAAAAAAAGAAGAAGAAGAACTGGGCGACATTGACGTGTCTTTTTCAACACAGATTGTCACACCAAGTAAGGCAAAATGTATCCCGCCCAGTTCAATGAACTGCTTTTCAGTGAAGTGTACAAGCGTTGGGTTCTTTGGGACGCGCTCCTCAAAGAATTTGGGAACAGTGGGACCAAAGAGAAACTTTGGGTAGAGGTGACTGAGGCCGTGAAAGTGATCGACAATACCGGTATGAAACCACTGCACTTCTACGGGTTTTAAAGTGTTTACACCGTTTAACCATATGAAGTATTCAGCAAATGTCAAGGGCATTGGTATCGGAACAGAGGGAACAGAAACCATAAAAAAAATAAGACTAACGTTTATTTAGTATTGTAAACGCTTGTTTTTTTATTAAGGTGAAATTAAAGGGGAAACTGAAAACTAAGGCATTAAAAGTGTTAGAAGCCACTGTAATCGACAGTGCGCATCTGCTTGCTGCAAGCAACATTGGCCATCGGAACGGCAGTAAACGCTCCTGTGGAATGAAACCTCGTGATCCGTGACGCAGCGCCGCTAGCAGCAGCGATTTCGGCCGTGGAATCGCTGCATGTGAAACCCGCTATGCTGTGGTGCAGAAGAGGAAAAAAAATCTTTTAGTGAAAGGAACAGACACGGAACGTCTCGAATGTTAAACGGCACGATTAGCTACCACCAGCTCGACTGCGCGCTTACAGTCTTGTCCCAGGGTTGCCCCAGGCTATATTTTCAAATGTACGTACTTAAGAAACAGGCTTTTGGCTTTTTACTTTCAGCAACTAGCTTTTTTTTTTTTACTACTAAACGATGCACGATCGGTAAGATTATAGTCTTAAAATAATCTATCGCATCCCAAGACTGATTTCATGGTCCCTTTCAGCTGTCAGTGACTTTAGGCAGCACAAAGTGTTTTTGTGTGCGCCGATCTTGAAAACTAACGCTGCCGAATGCTTGTCCATTTCCGTGACGTCAGGAAAATTGTACGTCTGTGCTGTTTAACCTATAGTTCGGCCATTTATCTCTGAAAACTCGGGACGGAGCCTGCGTTGGTTATTCCGTTACACCCATCTCGCTAGCACATGTGCACAGCGCGACATTGTTTTTTTTGTGTGTTTTTATGGTGCATTTGAATATAAACAAAACCAATGCACTTTCTACCGTGCTAAGTGATCATCCAAAAAGAAAAAGGAAAGAAAAACGACCAAGTGCAATATTGCAAGGTCAAGCTCACGAAACGTGCAAAGCTAGAAATGCGAGTGTTAAATATATTTTTTTCTACGGGATGGGTAATCTGAACAAGCGATCGCCTGTTGTTCCTGTTTTTAATAAACTTAAACGGCTGTCATAGGAACTGCCAGTGTGACGGAAAGTCCTCCTTCAGGGAAGTAATCCAAGCGTAAAGCACGCTGTCCGTCCTTATTCTGAGTAAAATCTAGGAAACTAGCCGATGTAGTATCACCCGCTGTTAGGGTCGCGCAGTATACGTATAAAGGTGAGCCACGGACGCATTCATTTGAACGAGCCGGGTTGTTGCTTGGGATACAAATTTGTCATGTACATGTCCTCAATATTGGGGAACCAACCTGCATTGTTCAGGAAAGTTAAACAGCACTAGCCTTCAACAGGTTAGTGTGATCTGTTAAGGTGAAAAAAAAAACAACAACAAAGAAACAACAACTTACAATGGCAGTGTAGAAAGTGCACACCAGGCCATTGAACAGAATGGACGACCAGACAGGGATTCCGGTGACTGGAAGATGGTAAAATCATTCCGAACGAAATAAAGACTCCGTTAGAAAGCATCTAGTATGTGTATGCTTTAGGAGTCATTCTTCCGGACCAAAAGATGGCTGAACGAAACGCAATGCTCCGCCTCCTAATGGCGCGGAACCATGCTGACTATATCGGTGCTTGACATATGGGCGTTCTTGTACACTCACATGGACGCCTATTACCTAGCTTGCGGCAACCGCCCTTGGATTGTCGGTCACTTGCCACGTGGTGGCACTTCAGTGGTCTGGTTTTAGTCACCGCAAGAGGGAGATCAATATCTTCTGCGTCTCTTGCGGATCGAGCTAAGGTATCGTCCGTAGACAGTTCGTCTGCCTACGCAAGTGAAGATGGCAATTCGTCGGCTACAAAGCGTCATCCTCAGACGAAAATAAAACAAGGAACCTTTGTACGATCCGAGCGCCGCGATGAAGCGAGACCGGACGCAGGCTGGGATTGTGCTTATATGCAATTTTGTGTTGGAAGCCACCGACAACCGACGCTGCGCTTCCTTTACAAATCTCAAGTTTTACTGTTGCCGTACACAAGCTGACATCGACCGGTGGCTGAAGGCTGGTGAAGGAATACTAAGGACAAGCACAGGGAGGCTCGAGACCTCTCTCCCTATTTATATGCCGGTGAGTTCTCACCGAAACACTGCCCGAGTGTGAACTTTCGAACGGGTCAAAGAATTCTCATTGGTTGATTACGCACAAAGCTCTTGCGCCTCGTCCAATCAGCAGCCCAGAACGTTCTTGCTCTCACCTAGACCGAATTCAGACTCCAGAAGACCCCGCGTTAGCAGGCCACTCTTGTGAATCAGCAGAGGGAGGATTCGTAAATCGCGCGAGCTTTTTCGTCGGTGCCAGCGGCTTCCAACGAAGCGGCGCCCAGGGGCAAGTTCCCGACAATCGCAGCGCAACTGTAGCAAGCGAGAAAATTGGCATCCCTCCGACTATGAAAACACGCACGTGCGCCAAGCGCCGGTCTCGACAGCAGGCGCCGCGGCATCAAAACGCGCAGCAATGCTTATCGTCCACCACGCCCCTGGCCCGGAGACGTGTGTGAACGATTGTAGATTGGGATTTTGAGAAGAAAAAAAAACGTCAAGTTAAAAATTGGATATACTCGTATAGGAACCTCTTTGCGCGTGGCACTAGAATCCGATATCAACGTCCAAAACTGGTGCAAAAAAAAATGCTTCAGCGGACGTCAGAAAATGCGCGATACTCACTAATTAGTTCGATGATTATTTACAAATGACAAATTAAGTTTTTAATCAGTGAATATAGATATATGGTTTCAATTAGAAACTTTCTGAGCGTCCTCGAACCCCATTATAGTAGTAACTTTAAGAAACACTTTAAACAAGTGGGAAGCTAGTAGCACGCTAAAATTACCACTCATGGAGCAGGTACAAGACTGGGGCTCAGTTAACAGACGGAAAAATCACGCGGGCGCCTTATCACAGCCGCTAGGCTTGTACCTGCTCGACGATTGGTAACTTTAGCGCACTACTACGCTTCTCTCGCGCTTAAAGTATTTCTGAAAATTACCGATTTAGTGATGTTCGCGATGACACGCAGCAAGTTTCTAGTTTGAATCATGTCTACCTTCACTAATAAAAAAGTTAATTAGTAATTTTAAATAATCAATGAACTAATTAGTAAGTATCCCACATTTTCTGACGTCCGCTACCACGAGTAAAGCTGTCCAGAGAAAATGATATTTTAGAGCGCAGCTCTTAGGCGCCCGTTTCCGGCTTCAGCGGCGTCGCCGTCGGCGTAACCGCGCGGTGCATTATGGGAAATGTCCCCTAATGCACCGCGGGGGAACCTCGTGACGTCACGTGTGACGTCACAAGCGTCTCGCGCGGTGCATTAGAGGACATTACCTCCGCTGCGCTGTTCTCGCGCAACGCAGCAGAGGCTGGTTGCACTATTTCTCCACGGGGCGTGGTCCCGTCGGTGCCGAGATGCGCTCCGATTGCAAACCGAAACTTAAAAACCCTTCAAATTTGTGAGGTTTTTCAGAAAGCCGTAAAATGCTTCGCGTGCCTTCTATCTTTCTGGAGTTTGCTGATTTAGTGTTTATCGATGATGCTGAACAATTTTCTAGTTGAAACCATGCCCTTAAACATAATATTAAAAAAAGTTAATTACGCAAAATTAATTAACAATCTAATTAGCCCGGACTTTATTAATGTTCTTAAATAAGCCCCTGGCCCAGGACCAAAACGACACAAGCCTTTTTGTTGAGACGCATAGCTTTCGCAATACCGAATTTGTCCACCTTTCTTGAAACACCTGTATATACACAGGGTGTTTCATAGAACTCAGGCCAAATCGCTCCTGCGAAAACTACTTATCGCAACAAAAAAAGGCTTGTGTCGTTTTGGTCCCGGGCCAGGGGCCCATTAAGAAAAATGATTCAAGTCCGGAATAATTAAGTTGTTAATTATTTTTGCGTAATTAATTTTTTAATATTGTGTTTAAGGGCATGGTTTCAATTAGAAAATTGTTCAGCATCGTCGAAAAACAGTAAATCAACAAATTGCAGAACGATAGAAGGCACGCGCAGCATTTTATGGCTTTCTGAAAAAACCGCACAAATTCGCCGGGTTTTTAAGTTTCGGTGCACTATCGAAGCGCATCTCGGCCCGGGCGACCAAACGCCACAAGCCTTTTTTCGTTATGATAACTAGTTTCTGCAGGAGCAATTTGGCCTGCGTTCTCTGAAACACACTGCATATATATATATGTGTGTGTGTGTATCTGGCGGCATACAAAATACTCTAGAACTTTTACAACATGTATGAAACAAAAGCTTCTCCTGCTAATTACACTTTGTTTATTTTAGTAAAGATAAATATGTGTCATAATAATGATAGTGATTTCATTACATAAATTCAGTTTTATAGTTTCCCAACATACCGGATCCGAGGGCAAGGGATGGACCGTAAAGCACAACACCCAGGTACATTAGCTGCAAGATTGGAATGGCAAACAACTCTTGAGATATACAGCACACAGTATCTTTCTTGCTAAATGGGCACAACAGTGAATTTTGAGATGGCCTTTTTATTAATGTAACTACACTATGCATCTTAAAGAGACCATAATTGCAATCATGCACGGCCCTTCTTTGCACTGAACTCGCGACCGAACACCCGGGGTGCTCCTCTAAAAATATATCACGAAAAAAAAAGCGTTTCCATAGAAAAAAAAAAAAAAAAAAATCTGCGCATGATTATAAATCTAGGTTTTCCAGAATGCGTTAATAGAATTTGCATAAAAAAAATCTTAACTTTATTTTAAAGCGTTTTCAACATATTATTGTGAATAATTAAAAATACTTAAATGTTCAAGTTTGGTGCTTACCGTTTCGAGGAGGAACAGAAAAGACGCCAGTTTTCGGACTGCAGTCGACTTAAATCTTCTCTCGAGGTACTATAAGAAGCAGCCAGCAAAGCATTGTGTGCAAGTTATTTCCCATTCAGTTTGCAGATGCATATAAAACATTGATAACAGTTGTAGCAATTAAAAAAAAAAAACTTTAGATACCTCCAAATGAAAAGATACAGCATCCAGATAAGTTGCAATTAACAAATAGGTCGATGGAATAATACTTCTCATCGCATTGCATGATTAGGGTCATTAATACATAAACTTTACCAGTACGCTAATAACTTAGGGAATATGAATTACTCAACTCCAACATAGCGACCTCAAATACGCATTGTGGTTTGACTCCATGGCTCTCAAATTCAACGACTCAAAAGTGTTACACTGAAACTAAATATCGTTATTTTGGCATCTATCAGAAATTGAAGCAAATATCATACCTCATTGATGCTTGTGACATCCATTTCGTAATAGATTGGCAGAAAGGCAAATGTGGCTAGTAGAATTGCAACGCTGGAACTCACAGCTCCCACCCAGAGCGTAGTGCCGTGCACAAACACTTCAGCGGGAAACCCTAAGATGTTGTTAGACGACAAGAAGCTGGCCATCAGAGACAGTGAGACTGGAAGCCAGCCTAGTTGCTTATTAGCCGTGAGAAACGTCCGGTTAGACTGCTCGGCCCGATCGGTCCAGGCAAAGTAGATGCCTATGGCCGAAGACAGCACAAGGAACCCGACCAGAACCAGATAGTCCAACAAACCGAATGAGGACACAGCCATAATTAATGGAGATCCCGGCTATGATAAGCAATCCTCGCACAAGGTCACGGGACTTGGCTAAATCCGCATTTAGGAAAGCACCTCGATTGTTTCTTTCTCTGAAAAAAAAAGTAAATAAATAAAACGAATGTTCAAGAAGTTGTCTCGCCACTATGTGGTTATGTGTTAGCTGCTTCAAGTTGTTGGTTGAATAGCACGTAAACTTAACTCACTATTTCTTGTCACAGGCGATAGGTGCAGATGCTGATTTTGGCGTCCTTGGCAACGCTCGGAACGCACGAAAAGCGGGTACTCGGCTGCTTTTCTGGCACGAGAGAAATGAAAAGCAAATAGACATGAGGGGGGATGTAAGTGATATTTAATCATATTTTTTTACTCTTCAGCATTTTTTAGCGCTTACACAAAGAGAAATGTTGAGACCTTCAGTTCAGGTAATGCGCGTTCCTTCATGTGTGAAGGGATTTGATACCTGATAACGCAGCATCCTGAGAACATGCAGGGCGGTGATACAGCACAAATGGAGATAATTTAAAGTCTTCGTTTCGAGCAAGAGTTTTTTTCCCCCACTTTCTAGAGATTTTTAGAATCTCGCAAGTGAATAAGAAAAGGAATATAATAAAATATGTTTCTAGGATTTGTTCCCTACTTTGGATTAAACGGAATGAACTTCATCGACAACAAATCATCCTAAGCAGACTAAATAAAATGCTAAAGTCGTCAACAAGGATGACATAGTTTCCCAACTTGTTTTAACAATTTCGTTTAGAAAATAATAACTAAGACACCTGTCCATAAATGTTCCCGTTATTAAGCTCGCCTTTTATGTCCAAACAATTTTATGATTTGATCGGTTTTGTGAATTGAATGGTACAATGTCCATTGGTACATTGTACTAGGTCGCCTGCGTAACCTTTTCTGTGTCTCTTGCATACATTTATATTTGCATCAATTTCAGTTTGAAAAACCTTGCATCCCCAGAGTTAACGTCTTCTGTGGGCTCATTCAGGTAATTTTACTCAGGGGGCGTTTCCTGCAAATACTTCCTTTCTTTTGTATGTAGCACAATGGAGGCAGTGCTTACACAATCGTCCTTCTTCTCCTTAATGGCTAGGGAGTCTAGAATTCCCCTTGCGATCTGTTTTTTTATGTCTATTCACGATGGTGATGTTTGAGAAAAAGGGAGCACATTGGCATTGGCGACAATGCGCCGGAAGATGGCCCGCTGCTGCAATTGTGCGCATGGAGGCGGCGTGTTCTCTGGTGCGGTCATTGACAAAGCGCCCAGCTTGTCCGATGTAACATTTTCCACATGACAGCGGGATGTTGTAAACAACAGCGCTTTCACATGACGCGTATTGAGTCCTGAGTGCGGTGCCGCACGTGTTCTTTTCGTTGTCGGCCTTACCGCGAACCTTGCGGCACATGGCATATGCCTTGTTGAGAGCTGAGAAGACGACTTGTATTCTATGTCGGCCAGCGATCTTTTTCCGATGATGCGTAACCTCGTGGATATATGGGAAGACTACTAGAGGTTTAGGAAACTTCTTTTTTGATGGTTGTGCAGTCTCCCTTGGTTTGCGTCGTACTTGCTTGCAGATGTTTTCACAAACAGGTAGGAGGAGTGTGCTCATGTATCTGGAGTCTTGAAGCCTAGATATCTGTGTTTGAAAACTGTGTTCGCGCCTATGGAGCAAGACTTCTGTAGTGCCGAGACAACAGCTGTAGTAGCCAATTCTCGTTTAGCAGTTTTTGAATGTTATTTCAATTTGAATGCTGGCATATCTCACAAGCATGAATAACTAACCTGCTGAGCTTCAGGCAATCACAACGTAAAGATGTGAACGATCTTGGAAATATTTTCAGAAACCTGCATTTAATCTTGCATTCTAACGACTATTTCTTACTGTCGTGGAGACAGAAAACCTACATTATCAAAATTCCCCGTGTGGTCAAGGGCAAATGACCTCAGGATCATCAACAAACCAAAAAAAATAAATAAAACATTTTCGTTTCCATACTCAATAAACATTTCCAACCCAGATACCCGAGCAGGCTGCTAAGAGCAGCACAATCACAGAATGCGTGGGCGAAAAAGCGTGCTCGTCTCCTTCAAGAAAAAAAAAAAACTACGCTTAAATTAAAGACAAAAACGCCCATTAAGAATTAAAGAGAACACGAAATTACCTTTTTACCTTTGCCAAATAACTTTTACATTAAACCTTCAATGTTCACTAATTGCCGAACAGGCATCCGTTATCGTTTCGGTTTATTAACTTCTACACAAAAACATAATGAAATATCGACTTTTTCTTCCCCTCCAACTCACCGCAAAACAAGCTGCGGTGTAATATTGACGGTCGTGACGTCCGCCGGCACCGGAACAAAAAGTTTTCTCGGCAGTAGGAGAATGGGAGCGTTAGCGACGGCGAGTTGGCGGTGTGCCGGTAGGTTTTTGCTGCGCTGATGGCGCTGATGCCACCAACTCTCTCCTGTTTGTGGGGCGACGGTAGCCGAAGCGTCGGAATCGTATCGGGTTTTAGGCGGGCGGCTTTTGGAACCTCCCGCGTTCGTGGAGAACACTGTGAATGGTGCTGTAAATACGCTGAGTGTCAAAATGTTCCGCGCATACAAGAATGACCTCAGATCCGGCATCGCTCAAACCGATGAGCCTGCGCCAAGTGCTTTGACGTGGCTCATCAAGTGGCAAGCGGTGAAACTGCAACTGTTTCTTTTTAACCACCGGACTGCAGAGACTCTGATTCGGGCACTTCGGTACACTGCAGCCTTTCGGCATAGCGACCGAGCGATCGATCACAAACAATGGGGAATTGTAGTAGACCGTTTCCGCAGCCCCCTAAGCACCCGGATAGCGCTCCGTAATCCGCCACAAGACCTTGAACTATGCAGATAAGGCTGGCGGCGCGCCTGCGCAGCTGCGTCGTTTTCTTCAGGGATACCGTAGCGGAGGAGCAAAACGATCTACTACAATTCCTTAATGTAAACACTACTCCACCATCCAGACGAAAGTCTGCTCTGCGAGCGCGACCAGGAGAAAACCCAAGCAGCAGATGACGCTCGTGGGTTGACTGGGTTGACTACGCAAGCGCAATCGGGTCCTCTTCTTGCTTCGTTTACCACAAGATAGATGGCGCTTGGCTCTCAGCATTATCAAATTCGGCAATTTTCGTCACATCTCTAAATATGCTACAAAATGTGGATCTGAATGTTATTTAACAACACTTTTAGGAAACATTCGCCGGCTATTTATTGTTTATGATCGCAGTGCTAGTGAGGTAGGCTCTTACCCAATAGGCGACGTAGATTTGGCTGACGTGCTGCGGTTCCGCGGAGCATCGCAGTGAAAAGGCAGAGAGCTTTCGAAGGAAAGAAGGCGTAAAAGAGTCCGGTTTTCTTTTAAAAAGTTATATAGTAAAGAATTTGTTGACTCTCTATTTTGGCGTTTTGGGGTTTCTTTTCACACATTTTACGACGTGCGAGGGATGAAATTCAATTTCAAAATTGTTTCATGGTCCCTTTAAGCACCTTTAATAAAGTCATCGGAACTCGGCTGACACACTCACAAACTCTGCGTTTCCATGTAGAGGAAACACGCTACATATTCTGTCGATGAATAAGCATTTTTGCATATTCATCTACAGCTCAATAGGCGCAGGCAGAATAAAAAAGGGGTATATTCTTACACCCCTTGCCACACGTCATACACACCAAAACTCCAGTTCAACGTACCGCAGTTGAACTGACGGTACCAACTTTCACGAGCGGCTTAATCACGGAGTTGTAAAACTTTTTAAAATAGCTAATGTACGGGTGACTGACTGCAAAAAAAAAGTAATCCGGGTTTTCTTGGTCGTGTACCGCAAAACCTTTGTTGTTGTTCTTCTCTTTCTATTGTAGTCTTTGATGAGTACTTTTTAGCTGTTAACAATGTTACATCGCACCGTCATCAAGCCTCTCGTAAAATTTAGGGCCGTCAGTTCAATGTCAGTACGCTGTACATCCAACTGAAGTTTCGGGGTGTCTTACATGTGACAAGGAGTGTAACGGCTACACCCTTATTTTGTTGTTTTCGAGTGCTGCGTGGTCTATTAAGATGACGCTTCTTGCCTTGTGATTTGTTCCTCGTATCTTCAATTCTCTAATTGATTGAAATCTTGTTGATTCCGGAGCGATGATACGCTCCATACGTGCTTCTTAAGTTCTCAATAAATATAATACTAGTAAAAACGTTTCCAAAACTGGGCATGAAAGAACGCGTTTTCAAGGGAAGGTATGCCCGCTAAGACATGGCCTGTGGTAAAAAAATAATGCCCCCGTCACGCCTTCAATATAAAGTGTGTATAGAGTGGCCTCGTCAATGAGGCTGGAGGCCAGATTTTGTGACGGACGCCCAAAGCTTAAAGCAGTAGGTATAATTTTGAAAACACACTATTCTGAATGTGGCGTACAGCGCATCGGAGAAATATAAAACGAATGGGGTTCAACTCAGAGAAAAACATTGGTGGAAAAGTTCATTTTCTTTAAATACTCGATGCAGCTGGTACCCAATAACGTTCGCCACCGATGATGTAGGCGAACTTTCCGCCACAACCATCAGGGATCTGGATAAAGTTCTTTTGCCTCCTTCTGGCGCCTAAAGTCTCTGACAGCTTAAAAAATCCAGGATGTAGTGAGGGAATGGTAGCATATTATCGCTTAAAAGTCAATGAGATGGGGGCATTAGCCGATAAAAGCCCCCAGAAGAAGGAGGCAAGAGTACTGAGGGGAGGGTATACACCTCCTCCCTCCTCCTCACCTTCTCATCCTGCCTGCCATTCCTCCTTCCTCCTCCATATCCTCCCTGCTCCTTCCTCCTCCTCGCTCCTGCTCCTTTCCGCGCGTTGCATCATCGGACGTTTTCCATAATGCAACGCGGGACGTCGCGTCAGGTGGCGTCACGTCATGTAACCCCCGTGAGGTCACGTGACGCTCGTGAGGTCACG